TAAAAGAACCATTAATTCATTAAAAGGAGGGTAAAAAGGCAGAAGAATTGGCCAAATGACTTAAGAGCAGGTCTAGTTCTTCAAACCCCTTTAAATGAGCTAGCTTTGACTTGTCCTTTCAACAGTTTAATGCTCAGCAGCTTTTGTGGGATTCCACCTCCCTGCTCCCCAGGGGGAAACAGGGTAGTAAACTTGGGTTCAGAAGATGGCTGGCAGCTAGTGGCTGTTTCCTAGCATTATTTACTGGTGATTTTGGTTGGTTTGTTTGGAAGAGTGACTATGCTGCTAACTCAGGGGTTTCAACCTCACAGGTCGCAAGCCATATGCTGCCTGAGCAGTTCCACAATGTGGCTAGGGTTGCCTGGTGTCTGGTTTTCGCCACCTCTGTCCAGGAAAAAAAAAACCCAGAAAATAAATGTAAAACGTCTGGTATTTTGCTGGGTCTGACAGGGGAGTGCTGCTTTTTTTTTTTTTTTTTGTTCAACAAGTTTGGTCCTCCCCCCCCCTTTTTTCCCCTCAGCAAAATTTTTTCCCCACTGTGTTCGGTATTTTTTTTTTAAGTATCTGGCAACCCTAAATCTGGCCCATGTGCAGCTGCTGGTCTGAGAGTCCTTGTGGCCCTTGGGGTGGGGGGAAGGTGTCTGTACCCTTCCTCCACCCCCTCTCTTGCCTTTGCTGGACTCTCCCTGTTAGATATTCTGGATTATCAGAGACTAAGTTGATCACACTGCACAGTAGTCATATTTGGACTTAGTTTCTAATATTTGATGGCTTCAGTAATTGAGGCACATTAACAACTTGGAGAATCCTGTAGCAAGTGCCTCTCCATCACTTTCCACGCTGAAAACTGTCAAGGGAAATTGCAGTCAAGCTGATTTATCTATGGCCACTCAACTGATTTCAATTACAGCTCTGACTCTGTACTAAACCTTGCTCATTTTGAGGGCTGATCAGACCTTGGCTGGTGCCCTCTTGTTAGGCCACATCTTCACTTCCTGGAAGATTGATGCTGCAGTGGTCAATCTTCCAGAGTTTGATTTAGCAAGTCTAGTAAAGATCTGCGAAATCAAAGGCTGAGGGCACCCCTGTTGATGCTAGTACTCCTTGAAGAGTGAGGAGTAAGGGAAGTCAACAAGAGCGTTTGCTCCTATCAACCTCCCACAGTGGAGACAGCGCCAAAGTTCGAATTAAGGTATGTCGACTACAGCTATGCAATTAACTTAGCTGGAGCTGTGTGTCTTAATTCTAGCTTCCGTGCAAGTATAGACATGGCCTTAGAGATTTGCAGCTTATTTAAACTAAAACTCCCTTTTTGGTTCTTAAATAAACTTTCCAGGGAACTATTCCCTGCCCAGCAAAACCAGTACTTAAAAATAAACTTTCCTTTTGTGGAGAGCTTGCCTAATAGCATGGTCAGAGTTGCTAATGTAACTAATTCATTGGAAGTGGTTGATGAGCGGATGGATCCAAAAATAATCTCTTACCCAGTACAAATGGCTTTCTGTCTCACTACCAGTTAGGCATGGTGTGAAGGTATTATGCTAATGCAGTGCTGGCCTTCAACTGACCGAGGATGAAGCACAAGCTGATCTGAGCCTTCTCATCATGAAAGGTTCTGGGGAACCGTCATATACTATCCAGTGTTCGACCTTCCATAACTCTATTGCTAAGACTGCCCAGTGAAAATAAGCACCATTACTGCATTGTATACACACCCCTTGGCAGCCCCACAATGGGGGTGGGGAGAATGGGGCAATTACCCAGAGGCTCAGTGATTACAGGGCTCTGGCCCCTTTAAATTGCTGCTGGGGTGCCATGCCAGAGTGCTGGGTTACATGCTCTGAGCAGCCCTAAGGCCAGGATGGGGCTGTCACACTCTGAGTAGCGATGAGGGCAGACTGCTCTGAGAAGGTGTGGGGATGAGGGCAAAGAGCCAAGCCCCTACTTCCCCCATTTCCCCCTGCTCAGGTGCTCGTTGAGGCTGTTGGCTTTGCTGCATCTGACAGGAAATCAAAGAAATGTAATAGGAGTCCAACTTGTTCTTTTCTCTAGCACCAGCATTGCAACTAGTCTGTGACCACTTGGACTTCAGTTGTCACCATGTTCTCTGAGCTATGGCCCCTGCTGAGAACCCTGTGGTGACAACAGGTTAGCATGCTGAGCCCCCTGCCCCGAAAGAACAGGGCTCTACCAGAGCAAGTAATGCTTCACTCTACTGGAGTAACTGCATGAGCCATTGGCAGTAGAGGGGCTATGACGCAGTGCAGATATCCTGTAGAGCAGCTACCCAGTGCTTAGTGTTTATTTATATAGCTCATCTCCTCATCAAAGTGCTTTACAAACACTCATTGTGACACAGCTGAAAGACCTCATGTGTGATCTCCGATTAACATGTGAGGAAACTGAGGTGCTGTGACTTGCCCCAGGCTACTGTGGAGTTGATGTCAGAGCTGTGATTAGAAATTGGGAGTGCTTCGCTACCAGTATCCTGCTCTGCTCTACAGGAGGAGAGGTTTCCTAGTGGTTAGTTACTTATGGTTAGGATTTGTAAAGGCATTTAGCACTCAACAGATCCCCTTGAGACCATTTGGGAGGCGCTGAATGCTCTTGAAAATCTGAGCCTGATATTTGAGAGGTGAGCTCTTTTCAAAATATGGGCCCAGCAGGGCTGGTTGTCCGATGTGTCTGTTTGTGGGGAAATGAGTAACTGAACATAGTAAAAGCAACATTTAAAAATGAAGAGTAGTCCTGAAGCACTTTAGAGACAGATAGATAGATAATATCATGAGCTTTTGTGGGCAAAACCCACTTTTTCAGATGAGATCATCTTGAGTGGGGGAAGAAAAGGGGGACCCTCAGAAAAAGAAGGGAGAGGAAGAAAAAAAACCTTATCAATCAATTGTAGTCCTGATGCTAATGAGGCTAATTGAGTGGGCTGGAAGTATCCCATACTTAGCTTATGATGTCAATAGAGTGTTTGAATGTAAGGAAAGCTGGCTTTATAATATGTTAACCAGTTCAAGTTTTTGTTCAGGCCACGGGAGACGGTGTCAAATTTGCATATGACGCTCAGTTCTGCGTACTCTGTAGATGACTTGTGAAATTCCTATTGTAGAAGAATGGCTACTTTAAAGTCCATCAATGAGTGCCTGAGCAGTTAAAATATTCCCCTACAGGTTTCTGTATTACCATTTCTGATGTCTGATTTATGTCCATTTATCCTTTGTCATAAAGACTGCCAGTTTGGCCAATACCCACGGCAGAGGGGCATTGCTGGCACTTGATGGCCTAGATCCCATTAGAGGATGTGCAGTTGTCTGAGCCTCTGGTGTGGTGGCTTAGTGGTTGGATCCTGTGATGGTGTCACTTGTATAGACGTGTGGACAGAGTTGGCAATGGGGGTTTATTGCAGGAGTAGGTTCCTGAGCGAGTATGTCTGAGGTGTGATGTGTGGAAAATACTGATTTCTTGACTTGCACTCGATGGCTCTAAGTACTGTATGCACGAACGCTGGGCCACGTTGCCAAGTTCATGCAACTGTGGAATTGTGCTAAATGTGGGAACCTGTGTATGTAGGATGGCTGTTTGTTTTTTCTGGGCAGCCCATCAGAGAGTGAACTCCAGAGCTAAAGTCATGAGTTGATTGACCAAAAGCATGGGCAGTGTGGGTGAACCCCTTGCCCCGTCCCTTCTGCTCAAGACTCCATACACCATCCTCATGGGAGCCAAGCCAAGTCTATCCCATACATAGGAGGCCTATGGCCCGCAACCTTCCCTGGCCCGGCCTCCCCAGAGCATGGGCAGCACACGGCCCTAGCCCTTCCCCCCCCACTCACAAAGCATAGGGAGGGTGGAAACCTCCTCAGTTCCAGCCTTCCCAGCCCTAGATCATGGGTGGCTTCAGCCTCTTTTGTCCCAGGAGGGCTGGCAGTACCAGCCTTGGCAGTGCTGAAACCCGGGTAGCCCCAGAAGACTGGGGGAGCCACGATGAAGCGGGAGGTCTTGGGGGTAGAGTGTGGATGGGGCCAGGCAGTTTGGAAAGGCATTGCTTTCCCCTGCCTCTTCTATCCGCCACCCATGACAGAAAGAGACCATTCTCTCTGGCTCTGGCAGCAACAAACTCTTCTCTAAAGATCAGCAGAGAGAGGCATCTGTAGCACGTACTTACCAGTGGGTTACATTTGCAAACAGGCATTCATAACTACAGGTCAAGTAACTTTGTGTGCACGCACATACAGGCAGCAATACAATAGACGTAAGTACAGCTGTGCTGTCCGCTTTTCCTTACCAAGCAGATGACATCTCAGGAGAGTCTTCATAAATGCCATGAAATGCATCCGTTTCACCCTGGTGATTCTGCCATCCAGAAGTCACATGTTTCCCCTGCTTGCCTGGGCCTGGAGGCTTGGTAGCCAGATCTCTTTCCTTTGCCACATTTTGGCTTTTCCTCGGTAACGAGGCTTTCTTCATGATAGCTTGCATGGGCGGCATATGGGGAAGGATTTCAAATTCTTTCATCTCATTTGCTCCTGCAAAGTATAATTGCATATTGCTCAAATAGTTATGACTTATGTTGATAAACCACCTTCCGGGCAGAGGGTATGCCAAAGAGCTTTATAAACCGACTAGAAGATTTACCCGGTATTACTCAGGTCCTTAAATCCAATTGTTTTTCTTCATTTAAATAATTGCTTTGGGGTGGGGCTGGAGGATGAGGGGTTCAATATACAGGTTACCCCAGGGAGAGAAGACAACTCCAGCCCTCTCTCACCACAGCAGTTTGGGGGCAGGTGAGAAGCAGCTTTCCATGGCCACTGCAACTCCAGTAGGCACTGCAGAGGTGAGGGATACATGTCCCCAGCCTGGGGCGGGCCCAGGTTTATTTGCCCCCTGTGTTACCCAGCCAGAATGGAGAATGCAACAAACTGCACTCCCCCGATGAAGGGGAGCAACCATTAATGTCCCTGTTTGAATCAGGGAGGGAGAGGAAGCTTCAGCCCCTTTGCCTTTCCTAAAGGGCACTTGAGGATGGGGCAGTGCTGGCACCCCCAGCCAGCCCCTTTCACCTGCCTGGAGATTCTTATGTTTTTCTGTGTGGCTTTCTGAGAAGCAATCCCATTCCAGGCACATCCCACTTTCCTGGCACAACCAAAACTGAGCTTGCTTTAAATTAGGATAAGAAGTAGCCGTGTGCTGAATTTGGTGGTCCTAGCTCTTACCATTTAGGAGTTCTTCAACCAACACACCGTCAGACTCACAAACACTCTCACATATGCAGTAGATCTATTAATCCTTTCACTTGCTGAGGAAGTTCTACCTTATCTATAGTGAAACTGAGCCACTTCTTGGGTGAAACTTAACACGCTGGGCAGCAACACCATGTGTGTGGCCTTATCTATAGTGAAACTGAGCCGCGTCTTGGGTGAAACTTAACAACTCTCTCACGCTGGGCAGCAACACCATGTGTGTGATTTGGAGAGAAACTGAATGACAGGGGGAATTTTGGAGAGGCAGGTACATATCTCAAACTGGAATTTTACCAGGATGCTGCTGATCACATCCTTTCTTTGAAGAGGTACCCAGAGCTCTCAGAGGGGATGGTCACTTGTGGTCAGAGTTACATCACAGCTGAAAGTGTCATATTCTTATCCTAGTCATTTGAAAATGACCCAGAAACTCATTTGTTTCCTGTTGTCCCGTCTGTGCCATGCCCCTAAGAGGCTCAAAGCTGAACAGAAACTTTGTGACTTGAGTAGAACAATTCTAAAGCTTTATCGCATTTTATGACTGGACTTTGGTTCCTCTGCAGCTGGGGTGTGTTGCTGTTTTCATCCTGGAGTTAGCGAAGGGAGTTTTGTCTGCTATTGTAAGTGACCTGAGGGATTTCTCTAATTTTTCCCATGTGAGAGACCAAGAGAAACCCAAAGGGGAGAAGTCCGGAGAGCTATTAAGTTGGACCATTGCGGGTGATCAGATTGGCAGATGTGCCAGTTCCTGTCCAGCTTCTCTGGTGCTCCTGGTAGCAATGACTGGCTTATCCACATTGCACAGACAGGCAGCAGGCAACACCACAAAGTGGACCTTCCTTCTCTTCAGTATTGAAGGAAAAACCAAGGATAGCTAGGGGTGCAGTAGAGGGAACTGTGACATTGAGCACTGGGAGGGGAAGAAAGACTCTTCTGGAAGAAAGGCAATGGGGACCCATTCTAGAGGGAGTTGCAAATTAGAAGGGACAGCAAGGATAGGGAAACTGAGGCTGACCTCAGCAGCTGTCCTACAGCCTGGCAAGAGGAGGAGGAGTACAGGGATTCCAGGTGGGGAGTCATAGAGAAGCGTTTCTGGTACGAAGTGGCCCTCTTAAGCCAAGGTGAAGTAGGAGGACGCTGTTTGCTCAAGGACCCCAGTGACGATATCGCAGAGCTCTCAGGGCTGGGTGGGAAGGAGTGTTATCCCGTAAGTAAGGAAAGTATCTGGCTACTCTGAGAGCTCATGGGGATGATGAGACCCCTTGCTGGGGCAGAGTTCTTGTTCATTGGCTCACCATCGGGAATGACATGACCGCCCCCTCGTTACTCGGTCTATTTGGGAATTTCCTAAGGGAAATGAGCCCAGTGGGGATCATTCTGTTGAGAGTTAAAAAAAAAAAAAAAACCTTGGGGACATTCCTCTTATTACCACATCTAGCTGGAAGCCTTGTAGATGCTACCATGGGCTGTTGACCTGTTACACAACTTCAGCTGCATGAATAACATAGCTGAAGTCGACATGCTTAAGTCTGCTTCGCATGGTATCTTCACCACAGTAAGTCGACAGCTGACATCAGCTCCACTTACTCGTCTCATTTTGGTGGAGTACTGGAGTCAACGAGAGAGCAATAAATCAACCCCCACTAGAAGAGACGCTGCCCGTCGATCCAGCCCATGGTGAAGACGTGCCCTGAGTTTCTAAGATATATCTAGGCCTAATTTTCACCTTGATAAGAGACTGGGACTGTGCCTAGTGCTGAATGGAGGCAGGTCCTTTGAATTTATTACCCTCTTCAGGAGCTGAGTGACTCTAGTTACCTTGGGAAACAGAAAGGCGTGCACTGGATACTGCTGCTCCAAACTCATTTTCAGCGAAACATTTAAATACCCCAGAGTCTTCAGGAAAAGCTTCTGTAATAACCAAGGTGCAAACTTCCTCTGAAATGAGAGAGCCGAGTATGTGACTGGTAGCATAAGGGACTCTGGGCCAAATGGTGACTTCCCAGGAAGTCCATGAAAATTTTGCCATCCTCTTGATAAATCATGGGATTAAATCCCGAGCCATTCTTTAGAAAGCTGCCACAATGCAAGGCAAGGTGCACTGGGCGTCGAGAATTATGGCTAGGCATGAGTGAAGCTAAGTCAGGGTCTGTATTCATCACAGCTCAGGCCTGTACAAAAACTGTAGTTACTACGAATGGAAAAGCAGCATTTGCCCAAAACCAATGGGAGAAAAGGAAATACCGAATCTATAACCACAGCAACAATGTCAGTGGCTCTCTCTAGCAGTGGTTCTCAGTGTGGTCCTTGGACCACTAATGGGCCTCGACTGTCTTGCAGGTGGGCTGTGGGCTCAGGGCTCACCGTTCCCCCTGCAGCAGAGAGCTTGCACTGGCACTCCAGCCTTGTGCCACCCTGCTGTGAGGCTGGAGTGCCTGTATTCACTTCCCACTGTGGGGTGGGGAAGAGGAGGTTGTGAGCCTTGCAGACCAGATCTGGCTTATGGGGGAAGGAAGCTGCTCTGTGAACTGCTGCTCCCTCACCACCCAGCTTGGGGAATAGCAGCAAAGGAAACCACTTGCCTGGAGGCTTTTGCCTCAGCTCCCATTGGCCGGAACCATGACCAATGGGAGCAGCAGGGGATGGTGCCTGGAGGCGATGGGAAGTACAGAGCCAGGTAAGCACCCCTCACGCCCAGACCTTGCACCTGCATCTCTCTCATTCACCTCTCTCATGCTGAGACCCTCCCCCCCCCACTCCTGCACCTTGCCTCCCACCCTCAGCCCATTTCTGCAACCAACTTCCACTGATGGAAGGTTAGCAAGAACACAACAGCTTGCACACAGTTTCTGCATACCTGGATTTGAGCACAAGTGCCTAAAAGGCGTGACTTATGTAAGGACAAGAGGCAGTAGTGAAGGGCTTTGTTCCTTTAAGGTTCAGCTCTGAAGACAGAAGGCTCTCTGTCTTCATACCAGCCTATACAATGACCTCAGGACTTCAATGGGGATTCCTCTTGCATAGGTATAAGTGAGCAGAGTTTAGCAGGTGGGAGAAGCAAGCCTCACACTAACTCCTGGATACAGATACAAAAGAAACACCTGCCTCCCCAACATCCCTTCATTTCATGCCAGGGAACCCAGCTGCCTGTTACCACAGGGGCCCATTAGTCTTCTGCGAAGAGTACCTCTCAGTTCACCAGGCTGGGGCAGCTGACAAACTGGAAATAACTTCATCCCTCTAGTACAGCAGTTCTCAAACTTTTTGGCCCATGGCCCATGGCCCACCAGCCAACCACCCATGATGACAGAACGGATACAGGAGGAGTTCAGGGTCTGTTTTTATCCTTGATTATATGAAAGGACTAGTCTACTGCACACTAAGTGACATAATATTAGTAGATTTCCAAAGTACTTACCAGGAACTGGTGAGAAACAAGCTTCTGCTCAAAATAAGAGAGAGGAGAGAATTAAATGCTTATAATCGCTGTAAAAATGTCTTGAGTACTCAGATTTGCCAGACAGGCCATAAAACAAATTACAGAATGTTCATTATTTTAGGGTGAGATTTCACATATAAGGAACTCTTTCAGTCTTCTCTCTTTCAGCATCCTTTTGTAGTTCAAAAGAAAAATCCAGTATGGGTGGTCTTATGTTTCTGGAACGCCAAACTTAAACAAGACTATTAATTCTCCATGAGTTCATAAAGCCAGTCTCAAATGCACAATTGTTTTAACCACAATTATTTTCAACACATCTCTTTTTAATAACACTTTGGAAAGAAAATCATCTAGCAAGGTAATTACTTTTCATTTTCCATCCAAGAAATGCTATACACTTTCCAGAAATTGATGCATTTAGCTTACCGGTGGGATGGGTATGCATTACTGTCTCTATTTTACTGATGTAAAAACTTGAGAATATACATAGGAACACAATTGTAAGAACTTGCCAGAAATCTGAAAGGGAAATGGAATTCAGAAGCCCTGACTTCAGCACTCTATACCATGGGCTAAATTCTGCTCTGTTATACTGTCACCGATTTTCTGTGGAGTTACTTCAGACTTACACCATCATCTGTGGAAGTGGAATTTGGCCCATGCATTTGTATGATATGACAAACAGAGATAAAGGAGTAATAGGCTAGATGTATAATGTAAGGCAGGTAGCCAGATATCTTTAGCATCTGAAAGTGTGGGTATATTGGAGAGAGGCCTGGATTTCGAGACATGTTGATGCAAGAAAAAATTCATATCCAGAGGTCTGTACTTTGTGGTTCAAGGTCCTGGCTGGTGTATCTGCATGTAAGAGTCCTTGTTCATTCTTGGTGTAGCTCCATTGACTTCAGTGGTGGTACACCAGGAATGAATGTGGCCCGTTTCGTCTAGGAACTCTGATGTGGTTCTTTGACGATACTATTGATCAACAGAGGTTTTTGTCATGGTATTTTGTAATGACTGTTTTTAATGGGTCCTGAAACTCCTGAAGTTGTTTCCTGAAAAATACAACTGGTACCTGATCATCAGTTCAAATATCTGATCTCCTGTCACTGAGGAAGGAAAGGGGAAAACTTTCCATTTGTTGTTCTGTTTTTTAATTATTTGGTATTTTCAGGCTGTATTCTTGCTATATCAATGCACTCATGTTCTCTGATCTTGTAAAAGCTCTCTCAGCAACTTTCTTGTTACTATTCCCATGAATGTATCTGTGCCATGACTGAAACTATTCTGCATCTGGGGAGCATAATAATACCTACTTTTTCTTAGTATGCGGAAGTCTGCAGAATCAATTATCTGCTTCTGTTCTCTGTACCAGCGAACTTGCATGGTGGGCCTGGCCTGTATTCGACATTCAAATGCCACTAATTGACCCTTTGTGGCTGGGGGGGTTTTTAG